TATACTTTCCTATTTTTAGTTTAAAAGAAGTATACTAATAGCACACTTGAATAAACTTCTTTTTCGTAAGGGTTGAGTTCAAGCCCCATGACTCATTGACCTAGTGTTGGTGAATACTGACTTACATTTTTCTGTTTCTCACACAAAGCTATTGTATGGCTTCAAAGAACTTGAAATACAATGCACAAATCATATGGGCTGCTTATATGATACTTTTATGATGCTTTTCCATCTTTTTTGAAGCTTGAAAGCCTTTCATTGTAATTGCATGGAAAGTCAGATTTCAGAATATCTTCTTTTGTGTTCCACAGAAGAAAGTAAGTCATACGGGTTTGGAACGACATGAGGGCGAGTAAATAATGACAGAATTTTCATTTTTGGGTGAACTATCCCTTTAAATTCGAAATGACACACATCCCTCTACTGTTTATCATGCAGTGAATGCTTCAGAGGGCAATGGGAAAAACTGAAGAGTTGATTTACATCCGAGCAGTGTTGTGGTCTACGAAACAAAGGTCTGTGTGATGTCTCCTCGACTTGTTTGCTTGATGGTTAAAGAGCAGGTCATATGGTATTTTAAAGTGTCCTAATATTGTGTTGGAGTCCCCTACAACAGGTTTAAATGCATCTAAGGTCAGAGAACATTTTAATTTCTCAGAATATACATTTAATATTAGAATCATTTTTCAATGATTTCGAAACGACTCGTTCGAAGCAGTTCTGAGCTTAAGGTCTGTAATCTCCTCCCTTCCATAAGCCTACTCTGCTCTGATTGGTCAGCTGGCCGAGTCTGTTGTGATTGGTCTTTCCGGATACAATGCATGTCCGAAACTAAATGCTCATTACCATAATTCATGTTTTGCTCTGGAGGGTTACTTGTAAACAAGGATGCTATAAGGTTTCAAAAATGGCATCGATATTACCTTATCATTTCTCCATCTCAAGCTCGACTTGTTCAGGATGTTTCTTAGTGGTAAGTTTAAACTTGTATGTGGTACTTTACGTGATGTGACAGCATTTTTATTGTATTCATTATTATTATTATTTACTTATTTGAGGTGCATGCATGTGTTAGAATGCCCAGTGAGGCTGAAAACAGTGTCTTCTCGACATGATGTAAACACACTAACTAGCGGAAGTGTTTGTGGGCAGGTCAGAGTGTTTGTATTTTTCGGGCAGGCGGGGATTATGCAAATGTGTTACCTTGTAACGTATATAGGAAACAGGCAGAAGATTCAAAAATATAACGACTCGTTAAGGCGGTTCAGAGTCGACTCTTCCTTTTGAGAGACAATATTTTTATTTATCATGCACTTTTTTGATTAACAACTTTGCCAACTGTTTACATCGAAGGATAGCTACATTACAAACTGCAAAAAATATATTTTTTGAAAACCCATATGTATGTATGTATGTATCTATGTATCTATCTGTCTATCTATCTATCTATCTAAGAAAAAAGTCTCTTATGTTCACCAAGGCTGCATTTATTTGATTAAAAAGACAGTAAAAACAGTAATATTGTGAAAAATATTTTTTAAAAATACATTTATAAATATATTAAAAATATAAAACAGTTCTTCATTCCTGTAATGGCAGAGCTGAATTTTCAGCATCATCATTACTCCAGTCTTCAGTGTCACATGATCCTTCAGAAATCATTGTAATATGCTGAATTGGTTCTCAAGAAACATTTCTTATTATTATCAATAGTTGTGCTGCTTAATACTTCGAAAATATCAATGCATTATTTTCAGGATTCTTTGATGAATACAATGCATTTATTTAATATAAATATTTTGTAACATTATAAATGTCTTCACTGTCACTTTTGATCAACACATCCTTGCTGAATATTTCTTTCTTTCTTTCTTTCTTTCTTTCTTTCAAAAAAAAAATCAGTAACCATCTTGGATTGATTTTCTCATAACATCCCTTAATCGTGTTTTATAGCTTTATGTTCTTTATTTTGAAGGAGTAATGGGATCAGGATATGACGCAGTCCTAACATATGAGTCCCCTGTGGAAGAACTACGTTTGAGTTTAACCTGTTAAGAAATATCACTGTTGAACATTTGTACTCCCAAAGCCATGTTCACAAGTCAGACAACAGTGTGGGGGAATTTAGAAATGGTTCTGTACTTATGCACCCTTCCTTCCCATGAATCCTCTAAAAACTGGTCTGGTTTGGATCTGTCCTCAGGAGTCAAGCCTTAATCCCCACATCTTGCTATTACACAATTTATACTTAATCCTACAACCTTGACTCTCTGATTATCAGAGTTGATCTGTTTTTCAAATACGTGAAGCATGTGATGGGTTTTTTTTTCAGAGTCCAGATGGCCGTGTGGAGGTGCGAGGCCGTTATGGTGATTCCATGATGACTATTGTTGGAGTCAAGCTATCTGACTGGGGACGTTTTGACTGTGAGGCTCTCAGCAGGATCGGTGGACATCAGAAGAGCATGTTCCTGGATATTGAGTGTGAGTGGTCTAAATGTTACTGGAAATTGAATTAAATTGGCCACACCTTGCAGTAAACTTAATTGGGATTAGAATTTGAGCAACAGGAAGAGGAAATTAAGGAATTGCATTTCATAAATAATCATTAAGTTGAACTAATTAAGCCTATTTATTCACTGAGAGGTTTGTTTGTTTGTTTGTTTGTTTGTTTAATAAAAAAAAAAAAAACATTTTTAGAATTAGAACTGTTTTTCTGAAAAAAGTTCAATACTGTCAAAACAGATTTTAATACACTACCATAATATGTCCAACACGTTCTTTTCAGATAATTTTATAATTATAAATATGATGTTCTTTGTCATTTTGTAGAAATTGTACCTTGACAAAAGGTTTGTTGCTGACAAGTTGGTTATTGTGAGTGTGAAGTTATACCCTTCCTTACATAGTCTTCCCTAACTTGCACCTCCATAAGGTGTGCATTTGCTTTAATGCTTCTTAATATTTAATAATTATTGACATCTATTTATTGACTTTTGGCTCCATTTTCAAAATTCCGTTTTTTTTTTTTTTTTTTTTTTTCTGGGAAATCAAATGTTCCACTATTGTCTATAAAAAAAAAATTTGCATTATTAATTCATTCATTCTGAAAATGAATTGTATAATAAAAAACATTTACAACAAATTTTATTTAATTTTAATTCTACTTCCTAAAATTCAAACTACAGTTCTGTATCCTTAGAACCAGTGGCAGCAGCAGAGTAGATATATCTCATTATGAGGTGCAGTGGAACAGACCATCTAGCAGGGTTGCTAATATACCCATTCATTCAGTCTCAATCCGTCACCGATGTGACACTGTGGGCTGCATCAATCTTTTTAATGTAAAAATTGGTTGTGATTGTGTGTGTGCTGTTTCTGTGTGTCTATGTACTGTATGTGTGTGTCTGCCGGTGTGTGTACTGTATGTGGGTGTAAGACTGAGAAATCACATATAATGCAGCATTTCCCAATACCACAGTACTCTCTATCTCACACCCTCTGCCTCATTGCGTCTCTCTTAACATCCTGCCAATTAAATCTTCCACCACTCACTGCATTGTGGGGGAAGAGGGGGGTTTGAGTTTATGCGGGTTGCTTTGAAAAATTAGAGGCAACCTGTGAGAAGTGGCCATGCTTCAGATTCCGTTTGATTACAAGCTCAATTTACCCATGTGAAAGTGAACTCCATGATAAAGTGTATGTGGAAGCTCTTACCTGCATGGTACATGCTAGAATTTCATTTAGACTCTGGGCAGCTAATCTTGAATGGGTTTTTGATGGATGACTGTTAGAAGAGCTTGGCGTGCCATTACTGAGCACTCCTTTACCGTTCTTTCACAGATGCACCAAAGTTCCAAACCAACCACACTATATTTTTCTCATGGGAAGGGAACCCGGTCAACATCAGCTGTGATGTTATGTCTAACCCTCTAGCCACAATGCTGTGGAGACGGGAAAAGTTGACCATCCCAAGTGAGGGTGCTGGAAACATGCGTGTACACAGTGCCCCCGGCAGATCGCTTCTCGAGGTACAGTAACCCAGCCACTGCTGTTTCCAGTTTTTAACATTTTTCTCACTCCTATTGGATTTTTTTGTGTTTGCTCAACTAGATAAGAGAGCCAGGAGAGTTAGACATTAATGACATCCAGGCCTCAACTCATTGGTGGCATTCAAGTAGTTACAGAAGGGGTCATTTTAAATGAAAATGATTAAAATTGTAAAATTATTTATGTATTTATAATTGAAAATATTTTTCTAAACAAAATTCAATAATGTCGTAACATGAATTTAATATATTAATTTTATTACAATTTTGCTTCAATTTTGACTTCAATACACCATCATAAGATATTCACCACATTGTTTTCAGTTAACTTAATAAATATAAATATTATAAAAAATATAGATATTAATTACAGTTTTAGTAATTGTATTTTTTTATTTTAGTTATTTTTTTAAATTCCATTTAATTTACTTAAAATATATTTTATAAAAATTAATGTGCTATCAATGCTGCCATCAGATTTGTTTAAAAAGCTAAAAAAAAAAAAAAATTCAGAATAAATGATACTGAAAAGATACCATTTAGATACAATTAATTATTGCAGAAGTAAATAATATTGTATACAAATATAAATGAATAAAACTATACGACTAACTAACTATACGTATTACAAAACCATTTTGTACAGTATGTTACGGGGAGCTGATCATTATAATTTTAACCTTTTTTTTCTTTAGCACTTGTTTTGTATTTTTGTACGATAAACAGTTTTGGTGCTGTGTTGGGTTGGCACTATTCTAATGCAAAATCTGTGAAAGTCTTTTGCTAAAACATATAGGTGTAGTGAGGTAGTTAGGAGATGTGGAAAAGTAATTACTGTCTGCAGAGCAGGGTCATTATCGATAACTAAAGCTAAAAACAAAACTAAAACCATTACATTTGTATTACTTCAAATTAACATTAACTAATAAAATATATACAAAAACTTGAACTTATTCAATTTCAGACAGTTTTCTTTAGTTTAAAGTATTCCTTTTCCTTTAGTTTAAAGTACTAAATATAAAAATAAACCTTATTTAAGAATATTAACAAAAACTATAATGGTATATCAATGATATGAAAATAACACTGGGCTTATTTGTATTATTTGTAGTGGTACAAGCAGATTTGCCCTTTTTTTGTAAACTCTTCTGTACTAGACAACACTTTGTTTCTCTGGAAATGTGTCCTCGGCAGTTGTGTTTACTAAGCAAGATTAGTGTCAAATGAACACATGAACAACATAACAACAATAACTGACATTAGATGTGTAAAAAACTAGCACGTGAAACAAGAAAAATGTATGTAAGTTCATGCTAACACAACTATGGTCCTCAGGTTACCCCGATGTCAGACAGAGATTTTGGCCGTTACAACTGCACAGCCAGAAACAACATTGGGATGCGCTTTCAGGAGTTCATCCTAGCACAGGCAGGTGAGTGTTTACCACAGGTTCAGCTAATCACCACTAGTTCACATGTGGTGCATCAATTCTGCATGATATTGCATATGTAAGACTCCCGCGCTCTCTCTCTCTTTCTTTGTGTGTGTGAGAGAAAATGCTCTCAGCAAAGCGACAGCAAGTCGTGCGTCTTCACACTAGTTTACAGTACATCAAATATAGGTATGCTGTGCATCCATTGAGATGAATTGAAAAATAGCACAGATCGCTTGACTGAGAGTTAAACTCTGAAGCGCTCAGTCAGAGTGTTTGGCAAGTGAAAATATATAGTATCTGTGCTAAACTTATTCTTAGCCTCCAACTTAGTCAAATCTAAGAATTTATTAGCCGATGGCTAATGTTAGACATCATTTAGTCACCCAGAGTGAAGATTTCGTCACAAATGCAAGTGATTTTCTCGCATTGTAGAGAGTTGCATATGGGTGGTAAGGCATTGTCAAAAGATCTCTGGGATAAAGTTGTCGACAGGCACAAGTCAGGAGATGGATGCAAAAAAAATTCAAAGGCTTTATCAATGCCTAGTTGCACAGTGAAGTACAGTGGGTACGGAAAGTATTCAGACCCCCTTAAATTTTTCACTCTTTGAGAAGTGAAAGGTATTTGGTACAACACACACCTTCCCTGGATCAGGACGTCGCTCCAAGCTGGATGAAAGAGCCAGAAGGAATCTGGTCAGAGAGGCTAGGTAGCCCAGAGGAAGTAGTTGCAGGAATTTATGACAAAGAGTGGTCATTGTGTGCATGTGACAACAAGATCACAAATTGTCCACAAATGTGGCTTGTATGGGAGGGTTGCGAGAAAAAAGCCACTCCTCAAAAAGGCCACATGTAGTCACGACTGAGCTTTGCCAAAACACACCTTGAGGATTCTGAGGCAGATGAGACTAAAATTGAATTATTTGGCCTCAACACCAAACGATATGTCTGGGGGAAAACAGATTACAGCTCACCATCCAAATAACACCATTCCTACAGTAAATCATGGAGGTGGTAGTATTCTGTTATGGGGGTGTTTCTCTGCAGCAGTGACTGGAGCACTTGGTCACCATCAAATTTAACTGAACTTGAGCAGTTCTGCAAAGAAGAATCAGCAAATATTGCAAAGCCTAGATGTGCAAAGTTAGTAGAGACATCCCAACAGACTAAAGGCTGTAATCAAAAAAAAAGGTGGTTCAACAAAATACTGACACAATGGGGTGATCCTTTTTCCAACTCAGTGATTCTGTTTTGTTATTTGATTTTTTTCTGACATGTTGGTGTTGTCAAGAGACCAAAAGAAACCAAAAAATGCAGATGAGCTGAAGGCCACTGTCAAAGAAACCTGGGCTTCCATACCACCTCAGCAGTGCCACAAACTGATCACCTCCATGCCACGCCGAATTGAGGCAGTAATTAAAGCAAAAGGAGACCCTACCAAGTATTGAGTACATGTACAGTAAATGAACATACTTTCCAGAAGGCCAACAATTCACTAAAAATGTTTTTTTTTATTGGTCTTATGAAGTATTCTAATTTGTTGAGATAGTGAATTGGTGGGTTTTTGTTAAATGTGAGCCAAAATCATCACAATTAAAAGAACCAAAGACTTGACTGACTACTTCAGTCTGTGTGCATTGAATTTATTTAATACACAAGTTTCACAATTTGAGCTGAATTACTGAAATAAATTAACTTTTCCACGACATTCTAATTTATTGAGATGCACCTGTAGGTCATTCATAGAAACTCCGGAAGACTGTGAGCACTGTGGCGCAAGATAAGATTTCTAATGTCACTACGATCCTTTCACGCCTTAAAGGTGAAGTGTGTCATTTCTGACTTGACGCGAAATTGAAAAAAGAGTTATTGTTTCCAAATAGGATTCCAAAACACAAACATCTGCCATTATTTGAACAAAGAGATCATTTCGAACTCACTATTGGAGAGAGTTATCCTTTAGTATTCCCATTCATCTTGATGGCAGTTGCTCGATCTGTAGAACTTATCTTAACAAAAATGTATTTCATAGAATACATAGCTGATTTTGATTGGCCGTCAATGGAGAAATAGGCTTTATGGGCCCAGATAGTGTAATTTAAATGCTAACCATCCAAACTGTGAACTACCAAAATACCAATTTCCAGCTCAACCAATGGCATGAGTTTTGGACGGGACTATCTGTTTTGCTGGATGGTAAATGGGGTGTAAGGAACTTTCGGCAAATCATTATTTCAGTTCCGCTTGGTGTCGCAGAAATTACACACTTTACCTTTAAAGTGCCCCTATTATGGGTTATGAAAGGTTCATATTTTGGTTTTGGGAGTCCCCAACAACAGGTTGACATGCACGCAAGGTCAAAAAACACTTTCATTGTCTTATAATATGCATTTATTTATGTCAATAACGGAACGCCCATCACCATTACTTAGCCCAGGGGTTTTCAACCTTTTAGGACATGCCCCCCCCTCCGTATTACTGTAGTCACACCGAATTACTTTATTAACATTAACATAAATGCAAATATCCATTACAGCTATTAAAGCAGCGAACTATTTTTCTTTTGCTCTTTTTGATTAACATTATTTACATAAGAAATGCAAGGATCCGTTATACTGATGTACATTTGATATTTTCTTCACTGTTTACATTCACTTAAAACAACCGACTGTGCTTACAAGGATACTTGTCAAGACAGCCATTGGTATTCACCTGCTGTCTGAGAAGGCTATCTGTTTGTGCACTTCAGGTGTGTGAGCGGTGCGCATACAAACGCTCTATCACAGTGCGTGAGTACCGCATTGAGATGTCTTGGGCTTAAATGGCTTAAAATTACTTTAATGTTTAAATTGACAAGACTTAAAACACGTGAGAATGAAAAAAAAACTTTCTTGAGGAAGCAGCACTGGCCTGATCGTTAAGATAGTTTTGGGGGGCTAAGGTGACAGATAGGGGGGCTGAAACCAATCTAAAAATGGTTTAGAACCGCCCCTGGTATAGCGTGCGTAATTATACTGAAACATAAATATATAACCAGTTTACCTGATTCAATGTGATGGCTGAGCCTGTTTCTGAGATAACAACATGCCAATCCGTGGTTGGATTTCCGACACGGCTAACCGTAAATCATCTTACACTGTCAATAGAATGTCTCTGAATTAACTGATGCTCGCGCCCCCCTTGATATGTGCTGGCCCCCCCCCTGCGCGCCCCACAGGTTGAAAACCCCTGACTTAGCCCACAGCTCAGTGGTAAACACCCAAACAGCCATGGTATATGCGTTAGCCCAATGCAGAAACGTATTGATACAGCACTGCAGTTTCTGCAAGCTGCGCGGAACGAACACAACACACACAACTAAATACGTATTTTGCATGCTACAGTACTGAGTACATGACAGCAATAGTTTTTAAAAGAATTACTCCACTTTCAGAATAAAAATTTCCTGATAATTTACTCACCCCCATGTCATCCAAGATGTTCATGTCTCTCTTTCTTAAGTCGCAAAGAATTTAAGGTTTTTGAGGAAAACCTTCCAGTATTTTTCTTCATTAAGTGGACTTCAGTGGTGCTCAACAGATTGAAGGTTAAAAATGCAGTTTCAATGCAGCTTCAAAGGGCTCTACACGATCCCAGCCGAGGAATAAGGGTCTTATCTAGCAAAATTATCGGTTATTTTCTTAAAAAAAAGAATATTTATAAACTTTTTAACCACAAATGCTCGTCTTGTCTAGCTCTGCGAGGCGCTTGCGTACTCTGTCTGTGTACGACGGTTCAAGAGAGGGTATGTTTAAAAACTCCCAACACTTTCTCCTCCATACACGGTGCATTTTTAGATTTAAAACTTGTTTAAAACTTGTGAATGTTTTCATTCACTTAGAGCTGTGTTACACACTTCATGAAAGGTAATTTTCAAAAATCCATAATAGGGGCACTTTAAGGCTTGAATGGATTTTAGGTACATTAGCAATTCCAACCAGACTCACTCTTGTCAAAGCCTGTCCACATACATATAATCGCCTCACAGTGCTCCTCAGCAGATAATAATGACTTTTTTATCAGGCTGAACACCGTGGCAGTGCTGGAAGTAAACACACTTAGCTTTCAAACGGCTAGCAATAACATGTTTCAGGTTAATCAAGCTGTGAAGAGTTTATGGCAGCAGGCTTCGAATATAATGCAGATCACTCTGATGGATTGTTGTCTACTATATTGTTTGTGTCTTGAAGTGTATAACACAATAAAAACACGTATAAATGTGTTTGAAGAATCTACATCTAGATGGTGCTGCTTGGACACATCCTTTGTGATGAATCCAGGTTCATAGGGTGTTTTGGGTCTTTGGTTATCAGACTCCCTCACCTGGGCGACCCAACCATCAGTCCCTGGTTTGTGTGCAAGCAGCGCACTACACCACGGGTCTCCCCTTTTGATCCACAGCCACCACAAGGCCTTTTCAGCAGCTTCACTGATGTTCCTAGAGGCTTTTCTCAGTCTCTAATACCAAGGAGCCTGAATGCCCGGTGAAGAAACTGCCCTGGAAAACCCCTGCATCCCACCTCAATAGGTTCACAGCGGGCCCTCCACCCATTTCCTCTGCAGACCTCCACCAGCTTGAGGTACTTAGCCCTCTTCTGCTCGTGGGTCTCGCTAGGCACAGCGGACATGCTGGAGTCTCTGCCAGTCCCCAGCTATGCAGGTTGGACGGGCTTGGCAGAACACTGTACACTGACTGGATCAAGAACTTGAGTCTAGCTGGTTCAGACTTCCAAAGCTCTCTCTAAGTGGTCTTCCAGGCTGATGCATTCTCCCAATTAGTCCAAGTTCCTTGTTTGCGCGTAGCCACTGTCCTGCTACGGCACTCCTCCTCCACCTCCGCATGGATCTCTCCCTGGATCAGCTGACATCTCTCTTTACTCTGAGCCTTGTCGTAGTGAGGTGTTGGGTAGCTACCAAGTCCCGCTGTTTCGACTACTACAGAGCCTACCAGAATATTATGCCTCAGCATTGCTTCTGCCCTTTCGACAGCCTCCCGTGCCCTCCACTTCCTTCCCGTTCTGGCTGTGATGCCTGCAGTGGAGACTCTGCGATCAGATGAATATCTATACAGAAGCACCACCCTGGTTCTTGTGACCTTAAACTCCTCAGTCAGGCTGGTGAAGAGAAGTTGCAGCTTATTGGTATGCCCATAATGAGCAATGCTACTCAAGCTTTTTTCCTGCTGTGTCTTTCAGGGTGCTGTCGAAAAATCTTCCCCAGGCTCTTTACAGGCTTCACAGACACTGATGGGATTAAGGCTCCTGCCAGGCGGAAGAGGTACTTGTCCTCCACTTTTCCCTTCCTCAGGGCCAGGGACCTGGATTTGGCTTTTTTGAAGACTATCCTCGCCCATGTAAAGAGTCTCTCTAGTCCTTGTAGAAGCCAGTGACATCCTGCCACTGATGTTGCTGTGACAGTCAGACTGTCCATATAAGCTTGAATGGGAGGTTGGCGAATGCCGGATCTGGATAGGGGGCCCCTGCATTCCACTTCAACTGCCTTGATAAGCATGTTCATTGCCAGGGCGAACAACGTCACTGATATAGTGCGCCCAGTAATGATGCAATTCTCTAGGTGATGCCATACTGAAGTTGTTGTCCCAGAGGTAAATCTCAAGCTGAAGTTGCTGTAATAGTCTCGTATGAATGAGCACTTGGTTCTTCTCTGGGACGTAATAAATGGCCAGAGCTGTTGTTACAAGTGTATGTGGAGCATTAGCCAGATGCCAAATGACTGACAGATCTCCTCGGTTTTCCCTTGCCTCATGGATTAACTGGGTGACACAGCTTGACATCCCTTGAACTCCTCCCTTCTGCACCGTGGTGTCAATATAGAAATTCCTTAGGAGGTCTTCCATCAGTTGGTTAGCAAGTATCTTGAAAAAGACCTTTCCTTCCACACTTAACAGAGAGATGGTACATGTGTGATGTAATTCGCATTCTCCTCCTTTGTTATCCAGACACCTTCTGCATGTCACCACTGTTTGGCTACTATTCTAAAAAAATATCCACAACCTCTCCAGGAGTCTTGAGCAATGTTTGTAGACTTTGTATGGCACTCCACTCAGCCCTGGGGCTGCACTGGCTCACGCAGTTCTACTTGTGCTCCTGACTTCTGCCAGTGAGGGCTCTTTGGTGTTGAACTGGATGTGGGTTCAGGTGGTGTAATTAGCTCTCTGCAGGGAGGCAGATCTTTCTCCTGCCTTTTGTCGCTGTAAGTTTTGCTGAGGTGTTGGTTAATTTCTTCTACTAGACACATCAGGGTTCCAATGCGCTTCTGCCCTAGCAGCCATTTCGTGAATCCAAAGGGATTCACTATGAAGGCAGTTTGTTTGCTAGCCCTTTCTCTGCCCCTTCTTCTGTGCCACTCAGCACGCCGGAGAGAGATGAGCTTCTGCCTTGTGATGGTTCTGGAGCTCCATCAGGGCCGGTCCTCCCTCGCTTTTCTGAACTGCTATTTTAGGGACTTCAGGTCTTTCCTGAGCTGATTGATCTTGATCTCACAGCGATTCAGTCATTGGTGTAGTCCTGACTTTTTGATGTTTAGTGCCAAATTACTCAGTGCCGATGGTAATGATCAAAGTCCACATCAACTGGAGTTGCTGATTCACCTTCCCCTTTGATGAAACTTTGAGGGCAATGTCTACAACCTCATCAAACTGGCGCCACTCAGCCCCCTTGTTTGCGGTAGGCCATAAGACCCGGCGAAGCTCTGGTGGTTTGCTAGGTACAGTAGGTGGAGTTTGGAGGTTCTGGACACTTTGGGTTGACTCTGGGTCGTGCTCCTCCTCCGTCTCACCAGGTACAGTGCTAGGCACTGATTCTGTGCATTGTTTAACTTTTCCTTGTGCACCCCATCTTGGTCTGGTGGATCTTCAGACCCTTTAGATTCTTGCAGACCATGCCGCAAAAACAGGTTGCTTTTGTCATCAATGATCCATTGCTTGAATCGTAAGCCAGAAAAGTCATCAGACTGGGGGTATCGTGCATTGGGAATATACGTAGGACTATGTGTGAGTCTTCACTGTGTATGTGCTTGTCTTTGTTGCAACCTCTTTTATATCTCATTCTAGCAGACAGGCAAAGTGGATTCTGTGGCATAAGTTCTCTTTTCTGTCCATCTTAGCGTCATCTTCCATACATCTCACTCTGTCCTACTGTTTCTCTCACTGGCACTTCCTCTCCATGATCCTCTATTACGCACACTGAATTTGTTTCTCTCTCTCTTCCTGCTGCCTCTCCCTGTTTCATTTACTATTTCTCTCTCCATCAGCGGTCTTGGCTCTCCCATTCTCAGATACTTGTTATTCAGAGCAGTTTGTGTTTTCTGGCTTGGCAGGGCAGGGCAAGAAAAAAAAACAAGCATGAAAGATGGCTAAGAATGCTGAAACTATGCCATGCCACCTACTGTAAAGGACATGCAGGAGAGGTTTAGGCAGGGTACAACATGATTTTGTATCAGATTGGCAACATCACAGTTTGTGTTACCTGATGACTATGAGCTAATTTTTGGTGCTCCTGTTAGGATTAAGCCTGCACTGACTCTGCTTCTGAAGAAATACAGTTCAAACAGATGTCATTCATAAAATTGTGTGTATCCCACACACCTAGTACTTTCATCTATCAGATTTTGGCTAGTTTGATAAAGTTTTCAGCTCCTAAAAATAGTGGATTGCTATGTGTTTTACACATTTTATCATATTTAAAACCATTATTTGAATGGATTTAAGCTTTTTCCCAGCAGTCAGCTGAAAATATTAATATGTTTTCAAGCCTTGTGAGGTGGACCAATTAAACTTAAGTCAAAATACTGCTATATTGACCGTTCTGGTACAGTTCCACAAAAGTAGGTGACCCAGTGAATTAAACTGAAATCAGCAACAGTATTTACATTTTTATGAAGCAAATTATTTTTCTCATTATTTTAAGTTTGCTAGTTCCAAAATTCTAATTGGAAAAAAATTGTATATTTGCATTATGTAGTTAATTACTTAATTGTCTATTTATTTAATTAGGATTGTTTTATTATTATTTAATCCCATTTTAAACACTGGTGTCTTTAACATTTAGCTGTTTAAAAAAAAAAAGCTATTAGCCATGAGGGACTGTTACCATGACTTTACCACAGATTTTAAGCTGTAGGAATACTCTTTAATTATAGTTAAATCAGTGTAACTCACTCTGTTTGAACTTAATTTTATTTTTATGATTTAATTTGACTTTTATTCTATTTACTTAACTTTCAATCTTCATTTGACATTTATTTTTCATAAGATATTGTGCAGTAATTTCTAGCTGACTGTGTTTGTGGTCTTAAATGTCTCATGCTGAGAGAGCTTGGGTTGTAAGGCCCTATAAAGCAGCTCTATAACTCTGTTTCTTCCCCACAGAAAGACACACAACCAGATCCTTTGATGCTCTCAGAAACTGTGGCCTCACCACATAAATGGAGTCGTTTGTTAGTCTCTCTTCCCCTGACCCATAATTTCTCTGTCACAGATGTTCCGTCAAACCCTTTCTCTGTTCGGCTGAGCTCTGTGGTACAGCGCGTGGCCACAGTTACCTTCACGAAGCCAGACTCCCATGGCGGTGTACCCATCAGTCACTACCTGGTCAAATACAAAGACATCAGCTCACAAGACTGGAAGGATGTGAAATCACAAGGGACACAGAGTAAGTACAAAGGTTGTCCACCGCCATTTTTTATCAATGCCTGTGTTAAACCAGCAAACAAATTGTAGAAGAATAAATAGTTTCCACTTACAGCTGATTAGCTCTCTCTTTTTTGAAAGAGAGAAGTAAATACTTGCATTCTGCAAGGATGCAATAAATTGATCAAAACTGACAATACAAAATATTTATATTTCAAATAAATGCTGTTCTTTTGAACTTTCTATTTATCAAAGAATCCCTTCATGGTTTCCACAAAAATATTAAGCAACAATTGTTTTCAACATTGACAGTAATAAGAAATGTTTCTTGAGCACCAAATGATTTCTGAAGTATCATGTGACTTTGAAGACAGGAGTAATGGCTGCTGAAAATTCAGCTTCACCATCTCAGAATAAATTACATTTTAAAATGTATTCAAATAGACAACCGTTATTTTAAATTGTAATAATATTACACAATTTTACTGTTTTTAAAAATTAAATATATTATTTGCTTTCTTCCTTAGTTCACAAAAATGTATTTTTGAAAAGTATAATTTCTACTGTCTTCCATATAATGAAAGTGAAAGGGCATTTGGGCCCTTTATATATATATAAGTAGTCCATACAACTTGTGTGCTGCATTCTAAGTGTTATGCAGTCACATGGATATCAATGTGTGACAAGTTTCTCCTCCATTGTATATCTCAAATCAAATATGGTGCCTTTGACTGCAGTGCCATTTGTAGTTCATTTCAGATATTATTCAGGAACAAAGCACACAAAAAGACTTTCATTATATTTCTATGCTGATTTATATCAGCTTGACTTCAGGCTTCAGCTTGAATCCTTCAGCCATCATTCTCACTATATTCACACACACACACACACACACACACACAAACCACATTACTAAGAATTGCCCAAACTTTCAGTCCATACTGGCTTCAAGGGCCAAACTACAAGAGTGAGAAGAGCTGTGGGAGATACAACTCCAGTCCAACCTGAACTTACAGTGCTTAAATAGATTTTTCTTTACCCACAACACCAAAATTGGCCTGCAGGAACTTTGAGAACACATTAGATGATCAAATAAGCAAATTAGGCTACTTCAAGGACTCTGAGCTAATATACATAATTCTGAAAAGGCATGTTTGCCAAGGGCATGATTGGAGAAAGCAGTCTTTTGAAACCATGTACATGGTTTAGGAGATCAGTTGGGACTTAGTATGTTTGTTGGAATAATTTCCATCTTCTTCTCTCTTTCTCTCCCACAGCAATCGTGTTGCTCACTAACCTTGAGCCCAACACTACCTATGAGGTGAGAGTAGCCGCGGTGAACGGAAAAGGTCAAGGGGAGTTCAGCCGCACAGAGAGCTTTCAAACTCTGCCCATACGTGAGTGCCCTCTGCTTTGACACTTAAATGCTAAAGATTTGGACAAACAACCTTCAGTCGTTACGTTATTGCAGTAGTATGTTGCTGCTAACCATTGAGTTCAATTATAACCAGTTATGTATATGAATGTGGACCATTCACACATTATTGTGTCTTTTTTTTCGATATTCAGGAGAGCCGAGTCCCCCTTCAGTTCAGGGTCAGCGAGAGGTGGGGAAGGCATACCGACTGGGGCTGGTCAAGCAGGATGATGGAGGAATGCCCATCCTGGAATATATTGTCAAATACAAAACAGTAAGTGAGCTGCTCTTAAAGCCTCTATTAATCAGTGCAGTCTCACAAGGGAAACCTTGCTGTAGTGCTGTATAAATGTTTATGCACAAAAACGCCTCTCTTCTGATGCTCTTCTGATGCTGACCTTGTTTTAGAGGATTCATCAAACCTCGATAGCATTTACATACACTACCATTCAAAAGGCTGAGTAAGAGAAGAAATTAATACTTTTATTCAGCACTGAATTTTGTATGGTCAGAATTACAGTTTTATGCCAATAATCTAACAGATATTAGTGCTTTAAAAAAAATTGTATTTAAGTGTTAAGAATGCTAGCTTTTGTGATCATATCATCCTCCACCTTCAAATCAGGTGATGCTAGTGAAATTCTGAACAAAAACAAGTTATTGTTTACCTTTAATTAAAATGAGAAGGAATGTTTATTAATTAAACAGCACTCTATGCTTAATGTAATTTGTAATTTAATTTTTTGGTAACACTTTAGTATATGGACCAATTCTCACTATCAGCTAGTTGCTTATAGGGATATGCCGGTATCAAATTTTCATGTTGCGGTTAATTGCTAATGGCATGCCTATTTTTAACATATTGGTTGTTTATTAGTACTTATAAAGCATTCTACATGACCATATTCTACATCCCCAATCCTACCCAAACTTAACAACTACCTTACTAACTATTAATAAGCAGCATATTAGGAGTTTGAGGCAAAAGTCATAGTTAATGGTTTGTTAATAGCGAGAATTGAACCTTAAAATAAAGTGTTACCAATTTTTTAAAGGCAAATGCCACCGCAGTTGGAAAATGAACCAGCTGTCAAATTGATCCCAACATAACCAAGGCATTACAGTATGCTCTAATACTAAACGTACCCAGCGTGACTTTTTTGTGGTGCATGGATTAACTAAGTCTTTAACTAGCTGGAGAAAAGCAGCACTAAACGGGATCATGTGGTTTTGTTGTTTGTAAGTGTAAAGTGTGAGACTTTGCTGGAATGCAGAGGATGTTATTCCAGTAAACACGTAGAGACAAGTGGGCGATGGTTTCAGTAATGAGCAATAAAAACACATCTTTTTGTATGAGCCCATGCCCTTTGTTTAAGCACCAGTACGCACAGCAGCATGGATAAAAACATGCTTCAGTAATTATTGCCCAAAGGTATTCTGCTGTTTTGGGGGCTTTTGATTGACTGAACTGTTGTGCATCAAGTATGACGACATTGAAGTGTTCTATGGAAGTGGTGTGTGGGAAAGAGAGAGGTATGGTTATATGGGGGAATCAAGTTTTGCATACATCTGACTAACCTCCCTCTTGGGACAATCAGTGATATCCTAAATTGTGAAATAAAGCAAATAATGGCTCTCATTTACTAATAATTGTGTGGATTATTTCATATTTGAACACACAGAAGAACTCATAAAAAATGTCCACCTAATTCACAGCATGTGCGTACGCACATTAATTTGTTCTTAACCTCGTTCTTGTGACGGATGAGCCAGGCTCGCTCACCTCCCAATCACAACGTGCACCTTCCCCGGAATTCTAACTGGACACACCTGCTCATCATCACTAATCACCTCTCCATATAAACGCACACCTCACCTCCGCTCAGCGTCTGATCTCACATTGAGCAACGGACTCATTCCTATTCTCCCTTGCGCTAGTCATCGACTCCCGGACTTTTCGTCTCCTACCTTCCTGGATTCCTCTCCTCTTCTCAGCGTCCCCGATCTCCCAACCTGCAAGGTTCAGGACAGTATTATTACTATCTCTCCGTCCATCACCCTGTCCAGTGCTACCGATCTGCACCACGTCCATCGAGAGTCCCCTAGAGAAACAATCCGTAAATATACCTACCTGCTACGCCCCCTTTAGTGACGTGTTCTGTCCCAAAAGGGCGACCCAGCTTCCACCACATCGGCCATGGGACTGTGTGATTGACCTCATCCCAGGTGCGCCAGTGCCCCGTGGTAGAATCTATCCACTCTCCATACACGGTTTACACTGACCATCATCTCTCTGAGTCGTTCTGTTACAGTTCTAATGTTAATGAATTTGGATTATTAAATGAAATAAACAACCGCATGTCAAATTTTAGTCATTTGCATAAAACATGCCCAAACCATCTCCATTTAAAGGCTTTCTGCACAACTTTTCCTTTACAGCCTTTCATCACTCTCAAACATATAATGATCTCAGTAACACTTTACAATAAGGTTCCATTAGTTAATGTTTTTTAATGTAATAACTAACATGACCAAACAATGAACAAAACATTTATTACAGTATTTATTAATCTTTGTTAATGTTAGTTCATGAAAATAGTCGTTCATTGTTAGCTCATATTAATTCACAGTAACTAATGTTAACAAGCACAACTTTTGATTTTAATAATGCATTAGTTAACTAAGATTAATAAATGCTGTAGAAGTATAGTTCATTCTTAGTTCATGTTAACTAATGAAGCTTATTGTAAAGTGTTAACATGATCTCTAAAGACACTGTACTCTTGTCTTTGATCCGCTGCCAAGTGTGTCAGTCTCAAAACCAGTTCAAACACGAATACTTTTAATACAGGCCCAGATTACATTAGCCAGCTGTACATATGTGTATATGATTCACTGCATATGATGAAATATGTTTAAGATGAAATATACATTTAATCTTAACTATATAAAAAATTATTATATCATGTTAATATGAAATATTGATTTTATCTTAACTCTCAATTATATATAATATCTCAAATTCTAATCATGTTAAGAATAAATATATTTTTTATCTTAATACAATTGTGGGTTTCGTGTATGCGTGCTTTCAGTTGTTCCTACATTTTTTTAATACATTTTAGTACACAAGTTTTTGGTGATTTTTCACACGCAAATTTGTGCGTACGCATGCATAGTGAATGAGACCCATTATCATTTTTATTATAAGTATGCAAAACAAATGCAGTCTGTTTCCTTTCACTTCTTAAAGGGTAAATAAGAAAGAGGGTCTCACTCATTAATCATTTTTAAAAAAATTATGCTGATTTTAAAATATTTATTTTATTTCATTATTATTGTGTTTATTATTTTAAATTTAATACCTACAGTTACTCTTACTTATTTCAGAAAAACAAAAATGTCCATTGATGTGCATTGTATCTCAATCTCGGTTAAGTTCTATAAGCTATAATGTGCAAATGGCTGTACAGGAAATGTTGTGTTAGGATGAGGGTAAAAACAAATTATACTTAATGTTTGTATCCAAAAATTTATGACAAACATCTGTGTGCACTTAAGAACATTTTTATTATTACTCTGGTAATATTATTGTCTGGTTGGGTAGTCACATAGAGCCTAGTTGCGTTTTTTTGTTCCTTGTGCATCATCGCCAGTTTCACAATGAAAAAGTTTGTTTACAGGTCGTGAGGTTATCCAGTGTTGCCACACTAGCATGTTTACACATTCACCACAGCTTTCTCTCTCTCTCGCTCTCTCTCTCTCTCTCTCACACACAATCCTTCTGTTTGTTTTTCCCCTTATGGGCCTCAGCGTTTCCTCAGTCTGTCTCACTGTGTTTGGTGATGCCTTGCTTCCTCCTCAATCTTAATAGGGTCCGCTGGCATCTTTTCCTTCTCTTTTATTTGTACTCTTTCCTTTTTTTTTTTTTTTTTTTGTCAACTCACGTAATGAGCTCTCTCATTTGCTCGGTCTCTGATCGCCTGTGCATGTGGAGGGGAAATGGAGATGTCACAGCCTGGAGAGACAGCTCGCCTAAGGACTGTCAACATGTGAAAGCCACATTCAACCATTTAGCCTTTAAAGAGCTGAGGCGTTTTGAAAATGTCAAAATATGAAAGCAATGAGTTTTTGAAGGCAGCTTGTGTGGGCTTAGTTTCAATTTTTTAGCCGGCAGAACAGCCGGTACACACACACATTATATTATATTACGCACATACTCGTGCTTAGATGCTCTGCAGGCAGGGACACAAAGAGAATAATGGATGCATTGGAGTGTTTCTGCTGTTTAAGTGTGTGGAAAAGTTTGAGGATTAGAGAAAATCTCTTTTTTTTTTATTGCCTGTTGCTCTAAGGACAAAGGAGGAGATGGCCTTTCAGGCCACTTTCATCTGCAAATCTTGCATCCATCCTGCTCTTTTCTCAACCAAAACAGAATCAATACTTGCTTTTTTCTCAACCAAAACAGAATAGAATGTAGCCACTATTCAAACACCTGTACATTCACAATCAATAACAAGTTGTCTGATATGTTCCCTAAAGCAGATGTTACTCATATGCTTTTGCAAATTTTATAAAACACTTGCGGTTTTGTGCAGGATAAAGAAGAGCAGTGGATGACAAAACTGGTTCCAGGTGTGAATGATTTTGTGCTGCTGCAACCGCTCCAGTGGAATACGCAGTATGAGGTGGAAATCACCGCACGCAACGTCAAAGGCCTGTCTGAACCCACCTTTGTGAAGTTCTCCATGCCTCAGAAACCTGACATCACAGGTACACGCACTTCCACAAAACACGCAAAGTACTCTGTCTCTTTTCCATATGACAAATTGAGTCTGATTGCCTACAGTGCTTCATCACCCACTCACAATATCTATAGCTGAAATTTTATGTCTCCTATTATAATTACATGGCCTACTACAGTTCAGCACACTTGCCAGCCACCCACGCTTGATAGAGCTCGTGTATCCCACATTCACAATCAAACGTGCAGGGTAACCCACTGTAACTGTTTCTCTGTCCTGATCAGGAGCGATTTGTCAGAGGAAGCACCATCTCACTTAGGAAAAAAGGGATGAGAAAGAAATTGTCACTACAAAAATAAATTACTTATATGCTCATACATCAAACTGTCTAGCAGTTAGTGCTTCCATTTCACTATGATTGGCTGATTGACCATCTGCAGTTTGCAGTTGTGGTCTCTTTTGAAGTCATGCTTTTATGAGAAGGCTTTTAATATTTGGATTACTAGGTCCCAGTGGTTATAGTGGAATCAGAAACTTTCAAGAATCAGTCAGAAGCTCTATGTAGCCAATGGGTATCTTTGAATGGTGCAAGGATGAAGGGTAAGTTGCTCGAGGTATAGTAAAGTTGATAGCTGAGGAAGGTGATCCACCAGCCAAACGAAACAGGCAGAAGAGGTTGACGGAAGTGATTTGAGTTCCACTAACAGTAATACAATACTACTTTTTTCAAATGAGAATATAAAGGTAAAAAAATGTAAAGAGGTCTGTCAATTGCTTGTCAAATCTCAATGCCTCTGTACCTTTGTGGGCAGGATCTCAGGAAGTAGATAATGTTTCAGCTAAAAACATGAACTTTCCTTTGTTGTACACAAAATAATGCTCAAATTATAGCCACGTCATGTACTGTAAACAGAAGAGCACAAGTTTTTCCACCTGACAGGAGAACTGATTGGGAAATACATAGAAAAGACCATTTCAAGAGTGCTTTCTCACTAGTCTAGGATTCATATTGTAATTATGGTTTAATGGTAATGATGGTTTATGTATATTATGCCAATGTGCTGGAAAAACTTGTCATTAAAGTTTTCTTTTACAATAAGTTGTGGACTTTTTTGTGATGTTTTATTTTTTAACTTCCTGCCAGGTTTTTTTTTTTTTTTTTTCGTTTATTTGATAGATGTTTGGAATAGAGGATAAATATGTAATGGTGTCGATGTCAGCGTTTTTCTTTGAGTGTGTAGGTCCCAGGTTCATATCTGCTCTAATAACAATGTTTGTTTTAATGAACCAAGCAAAATTGCAGCTATACATGAGTGGATTTATATTAGGGGATGCAACTGATGAACACAAAAGTGTGGCTGCAAGCTATTTCATTAAGTGGTGGGGACAATGTCCTCACATTGCCATATTCTGTATGACTGCTAGAAAAGGAGATAGATAGATAGATAGATAGATAGATAGATAGATAGATAGATAGATAGACAGACAGACAGACAGACAGACAGAGAGACAGACAGACATTTAGTATATTATAAACAAAATGTGTCTTGCAGTCTGCTGCGTGGACAAAAGGCCTGTCCTGAAAAATGCCATGATATTGACAGATGGTATTTAAATTTTGTCTGGTCTTGTCCAATTATATATGAAATATTCCTAGAGGCAGAGTCAGTGCATGCATAGGCATACATCTGTGTGTGTGTGTGTGTGTGTGTGTGTGAGTGTGAGTGTGAGATTTGTATATTCTCTCCCAACTCCTCCTCATCCTTTCCTTTTTCTCTCCCTCTCCGCCTGCACCCCTTCATACCCACTGGCCCACGCTCTTATTTATAATTCTATTGTGCTTCATCTCGTTGTTTCACTCTAAACAATCCTGCTCTCCAATTCCCACCTAATGAATTATGCAACACATTCTGGGCCACATCGCAAATCGCTGGGCTTTTTGTTTTGCAATGAACTGCCACTAAACTTCCCTTTCTCTGTGCCTCTAATCGCCCTGTGATCTTTTCAATCAAACAAACCTTTACAACGGACACTGGTTTGGACTGCTCACTTGCTCTTCGCTCATATGTCAATGTTATTGTCGCATTCACCCCTGTTTATTTCCTGACCTGCACCAAAATAATCTGTTTATCTCATTTTTACTCTTGTAATCATCTTTTCTATTAACCCACCGCTATTGTGTTGTGACTAAACCACTTTTCATTATCTCACGTGACCTTCTGTGTGCGTAACCATCCTGCGTCCTGTGCTGGCTCCACACACCTGTATGTCTTTCCCTCTTCCTTCCCGTTCCCTCTCCCCTCCATCTCATTGCAGATCAGTGTTGCGAGCCCCCTCCAACCGGACGTGGACACCCCCCTGTGCAGCCCATCCATACGGTGAACGTCTTCGGAGCTTCTCTGTCATTGTTGCTGTGCTTGTGTCTGTGTTGACATTGCTCCATCTTCACCTTGCCTGGAATGAGCCCAAAAGACTAAGCCAGGGACTTTTTTTTTTTTGCCCCTACCAATGGCTCGCCGTGCCGGTTCATTGCCCGTTCTGGTGGTGTTGTTGTCCATGCTTGTGAGCCGATTTCTCCTGTTTCACTATACTGGCTGCCCTCCGTGCCAAAACTGGCCTTTTTGTCCATAAAGGTCTTGCACATTATTGTCAACAAAGGAAGAGGAAAAACTGAGTGGCTAATTTGTTCTCTACCTGTAACAGTAGCGATCTGACCCTGAGTTCTATGTTTAATGAGCTCCTTTTTGCTGGTGTTTTCAAAGAACAGTATAAGCCACCAGCGTGGGGGCTTTTCCATCTTCTATGCATCCACAGGCTCTTTTGTTTTGGTTATTATGACTATGGGAAATGTCAGCAGTTGCATCGCTTGAGAGAATGCATTTAATGATGTTGCTGATACTCGCACACAGAGATAAACAACGCAGCACTCATTAAATGGAGTCAAGTAGGATTTCAAATTGATATGACTTTTAAACACTGGTATCATAAATCAAACAGGCCGACTTTCTGTTACCCGTAATATGAGAAACATAAAACAAGGTTTCTCTCTCCCAGTGAGTCAAATATAATGTACATTCATTTTGATTCTCTGGGTACACCTTTGGCAGAGATGTTGCCATACTACTTTATTTTATTTTATCAGTATTGATGAGGAAGAACTTGAGTAACTGAAATTGTGTGCTGTCTGTGAATACAAAAATTTGTGTAGAATGTTGCTGCCATGAAGTAGTATGTGAATACAGTGAATTAAGCTAACAGTCATTGTTACATGTAATTGTACAGGACTAAATTCAGCTGAGGTCTACACTACGGTTCAAGAGTTTTAGGCCTTTAAGGCATTTAATAAAGGCTGCATTTATTTGATAAAAAAAAAGCAATATTGTGAAATATTATTACAATTTAAAAAAAAAATGTATTCTATATATATTTTAAAATGTAATTTATTTCTGTGGTGGCAAAGCTGAAATTTCAGCAGACATTACTCCTTCAGAAAGGATTCTAATATTTTTTTGAAGATTCTTTGATGAATAGAATGGTTTTTTTTATGCATTTATTTGAAATTAAAAAAAAAATTGTAACAATGTAAAAGTTCACTTTAGCTGAATAAAAGTATTTATTAAAACAAAATCATACTGACCTTAAACCTTTGAATGGTACACTCTAAAAAATACTGGGTTGTTTCAACCCAACTTTGGGTCAGATATGGACTAACCCAACTGTTGGGTTAAAAATTTAATGTAAAAATGTAACCCAACAGTTGGGTTAGTCCATATTTGACCCAAAGTTGGGTTGAAACAACCCAGCATTTTTTAGAGTGTAGTATATGTTAACTTTGTAAAATAGTGAGAATGGACATGCTTCACTTTTCTTGACTTTCTGGATGCAGTATTGCAATCTTGATTTGATGAAGTGGTGTGTTGTAGTCTGTTACGTGAAGCTTATTTATTTTCTGTTATCAGAAGAGTACATTTTAAGATCCATTAAATGTGAAGTGCATAGCTATAGACTGTGCTTTTATGATGCTGCATGTTTGAAGAATCGATTAAAATTCATGTCAAAAGCAGCATAGAAATCTGTCAGAATTTCTCAAATAAACTAGCTTTCTCTGATGCAATAACTACAGCCTCTTAATTCAGATTCCTAACAATCATGTCTTATCCTCGTACCAGTGAACCAGTTAGTGTAGAACATATAAAGCCATTTGAGTTCATAGTTTGGTTTATTACAGGTAGTCAAATGCAAAAGCATTGAATTATCTGAATCCTTATCCTGCACATTATAGCTTGAAATATTGACTACTAAAGCAATCAAGGAAAGATAAACATATTGAATAAGTCTTTGTCAATGCTGAAGGGCTATTTAGCAGAATTACTAATGACAAGGTTCCTTACTTTTAACTGAAGCAATGAAAACAGGAATTAGTGACTGATTTTAAGTTTGTAGAGTGTAAGATGTCTGACTCTGATCCTCATCATCTCTGTCAGCTGTTTATTATTATTATTATTATTATTATTATTATCCTTTTGGAAAAAAGGTATTGAGCTTCTAGGGAGAAAAAAGTAACAAACATTCCTCGGTGTAATGTGTTTAGTTGCAGTCGATCAATAAGTTTTGAAGTTCACACCACAGAATCACAATTAGGATTTCATTATATTTTTCGGTTGGACATTGTACATTTTTATCATTGTAAATTGTAAAAAATGTGAGAGGTTTTGATACCCTCATGGCATACCTGACCTAATTAAGACAATCTCAAATCAATGGAAGTCAAGTCAATAAAGACTATTAATCTTGATCATCTCTATGTGCTGCCCTCTCTATTCTCTCATTACACTGCAATAGATTATTGCATTTCATTTATGGGCATGTCAAAAACCTCTATATTGTTCTCGTTAAAAGAAAAGGTCTGAAACCAAGTCCATTAAAGCCCTTATTTCCTAACATGGCTTAACTTCCTATAAGATTAGAATGGCTCTTTGTTGATGGTTCCAGCTGGAAAAGATTACGGCAAATGAAAATGGACCTGTT